AGCCGCGCCAGCTGTGGTCCAGCGTCACGTGGCGCTCCACAATCTGTGGCGACACACGCGCAGCTGTAAGTAGCGTTCCATTACGTCCATCGACATGCACGGAATGTAATGATTATTGGCGAGACAATCTAAATATGTAGATTGTCCTTACCGTTAAAAAAACGTGATGTAATCCTGATGTATCGGCGTGTCATTAAGAGCAAAGGAAAGAATTTTCCTCGGGCCGGTCCGAGCGGTTCCCACCTTTGCACCCAGTGCGACGGCCGCCACGGTGATGGCCGTGCCCTGCTCGTGGCCCGAGTAGCCGATGACGGCGCGCGGGAACGCCTGCTGGTACTGCTGGAGCACTCGCAGGTGTACATGCTCGTCGGGAGTCGGGTAGGCGGAGGTGCACTGGAGCAGTGCCAGCTGGCTGGTATGCCGCAGCACCAGTTCGTACACGCGCCGCACCGTCTCCAGCGACTGCATACCTGTCCGAACACACGCGCACATCAGTACATCTGCACCAGCGTGATACGTAAAAACGTAAGGGAGAAAATCCGTGAGATATCTCCCAAACCAAACTGATTCAATAGCATCCATATTTGGGACATTTTCGCTGGTGAGACAGTCTGTGGGTGGCCTGTGGAGCTCACAACCCGTATTAGTTATTTGCTGACACATGTCATTACAGGATCGTGCCGAGCGAGAGATGCTCATTGAAAATTTAATCCTGCTCCGGAGCTGAACACTGAACAGCGAGGGCCAAGTGGTATGCGACCCCCGCCCAGTCTGCCGACCACCAGTGGAACTGGAGACAACCCCTCTCCAGCCCAGCCTGCCGCTCACCTGTGGAAACGACCACGGGCCGGCCTCGGCCGGCGATCTCGGAGATCATCGGTAGGTTGTCGGCGTCTCCGGAGCCCACTTTGACGAACGGCACGTCCAGCTCCTCCAGAAACTCGGCCGAGACCGGATCCATTGCCGAGGCCGTGAACAGGATATCGACCTGTGTACAGGGTCGATATCCACTTACACTCCATCAAAACACCGGTAGATCCCCCGTCAAACACAGCGTCCCATTAATCGCATGTAGCGTGGGGTAGCGTATCAATCATCGTTTCGCATTAAAGTCCCAAGATAGCGAGGCTCGCGGCGCGGGTACCTGCCTGTTTGGCGTACTCCTGCAGCTCCCGGTAGGCGCTCCTCCTGAGCTCCAGGTGGGCCTTGTGCTCGCCGTAGGTGGCGCCCCACGAGTGAGGCCCCTCGTACGGCCGACGGAGCGCCGAGCCGGTAAACTTGTCCGGCAGGCTGCTCTTCTGCAGCTTGACGCAGTCGGCGCCGCATCTCTGGAATGGGTCCGGCCGACAGCTGACAGTGCACACTCAGTGACAGTAACAGCGCTTTCCTACTCATTTTCGTGTAGCTCGGCAGAAAGATACATTGGTTTTGCCTCGAATAGATGCGAGGCTTTCTTAGCGGTCTTCCACGCCAGGGTCTGCCGCCCAGACCCGATGGGTGGGGTTGGTGCGAAAGTCACGGTCCGACCCGAGTGCACAATGCACATATCGATGAAAAATCGACATCTAAATTCCAAATCCCCGGATCAGACACGTCTGAGTGTGAGCGCAGCCGGCACGGCGGCATTGCGACGGTAGCTACTCACCTTCGCCATGTCGATCATCCGCTTGGCGATGTCGACGTCGCCCTGGTGGTTCTGGCCGATCTCTGCGACGATCAGACATGGATGGTGGCCGCCGATGCGCCGGCCGCTGCCACCGGCGAGCTGTATCGTCGGCCCGGACATGTCGGCGGGCCGCCTCAGACCACCCGGTCCCTCACCCTATCAACTCGGGATACCTCGGTCCGTCCCCCCTCGCCGACGCACGGTGCCGGCGAGCGCGGTCCCTCACCCTCCGGTCCTTTCCACCTTCTCAGTACTGCAGCACGGGAGATTGTGAGCTTCGCTTGCGCTGCCGCGAACCACGATCCCCCAGTGCTTATGGCGCCGAGACCACGATATTCCTCTGCCGCTAACGACTGCGGTCTTTAGCCGCTCAGACTGTCGGCCGATTTATCTACCGATCGCGCTCACACGCCCTCGTCTGCTGATAAGACAAACGTCCAGCGAACAGGCGGAGTCTTCACTGGCTGCTGTCAGCCACCTGCCAGGGTTTGTTTGCAAGGCTAAGGTTCGCCGCGGCCACCAGCCGTCAGTCTGGGATCGGGGCCCGGCTGCAATGCCTCGAGCCCCTATCCATTGCAACGCGCACCAAATGCTCCAACTACGACTGGGGTATCACCAGACAACAACGCATAGGTACTAGCGAGAAACGAGCAAGGGCCGAAAGAAAAATCCGAAAAGAAGAAAATCGTTTTCGAAAACTGGAGATCATAACTAGGCAAATGTTGCTATGTAGATGTATACACAAGCGTGCAGGCTCAGCATTGCAAGACAAACAACACGGATTCACTAGAAATTTATTACGTGCAAGTTAAAAATGCTTAACAGAAATAAATATTGTCTATAATAAATAAAACAGCAACAAACGCGTTCCAACAGTTCAACCCGACAATACAGACGTCTGGGTAATGGCGATAGATGAGCGGTGTAAGCTTGTAGCATGCGAGATATTTTCAGGCGATGTGACATAAACATAATTAATGCAACAAATGCGGCTCTTGACAGCCCTGAGCTCTACTGGACAGGCTCCATAGTGACCTCAAACAGCTCCGCATCCTCTTCGGCACCAGCCAGCGCCTCGTGCTTAAAGAACGTGGCATGGAGCATAATAACAAAGAACGAAGCGCCAATGACCCAGAAGAGGGCCGAGCTGGCGCCGACGATCAGGAAGATGGGCACGCTGAGCAGCGCCACACCTGCGTATTGCTGCGCCAGCGGCACCTCGCGGCCGGCCACCATCAGCTTCCGCTCCTGCTGGCGCAGTCGCAGGATGTGGCAGCCGCCGGCCAGCGCGCCCAGCGCAATCAGCAGCAGCGGCGACGTCAGCAGGCAGTACACGAACAGACCCAGGAACACAAACACGTAGTTGCTCTGGAAGTGATCGATGTTCTTCACCAGGCGCTTGGACCAGCGCGGCAGCGAGTCCGGCTTGCCAAAGTTGTTGACATTGATGAACTGCAGCCAGGGCCGAATGTTCTGACGCCGACTGGCGATCCACTCTCGCACCGCCGGGCTGGCCAGCTTAGCCTGCATCTTCTTCAGTACGGTGCTGTGCTGGCTGAGGTCACCCTGCAGGTCCTCGTCGGCGGGATCTTCGGCCGCCACCAGAATCGCACTCTCCAGCTTTTCCAGCTCAGTCAGGGACATCACCCTGGACACTGAACAGTGCAGACTACTTACCGATAGATACCCTGCAAAAAAAAAAACATTTTGAGGTCATTTTATGCCTTTCCTATCCCTTCTTCCCGGGCGATCGCGAGAGCCTGAGGATTGATAATGCCTGGAATCTCATACAGTGATCAGCTTTTTCTTTTCATCCATTGTCATTTTCCTAATGCATGTCATTTTCCTCACGCATCTCAATTCTCAATCCTCATACTTTTAAGCGGTGCACGTCCGACAGATCCCTCCTCGCATTTGTTTGGGAAAAAACGCGAAAAAGCCAACCACAACAAAACTGTCAGTACCCTCGGCCTCGAGTTGAGCAATTTTAAGCATACCCTGAAAATTTCACAACCAGGTGACCTTTGAACTGTTGCCCAAGACCATGTCAGCCCAGAATTTTGATTCGGTGCATGTCCAAGCACATTATCCGTGAGTTTCCATGCTTTGTGTGATTAGAACTGCCCCAGCTCTCAACATGTGAAATAACGCATTGGTTATCAACATGGAAATAACACGTTATCAACAATGTGAAATAACGCTTGTCCCATGCATTTTCATTGCTTTCATCACGGGAAGGTGAGGATGAGGTCACTGATGATTGGTAACCTGTCCCGTAACATATTTTTTAAAATCATATTTTGACAGGCATTCTCACTGTTTGAGCACTGAGACATAAGTTATAATCATTCTGATGAGTTCTGAATGATTTATCCAAAATGTAGGGAGACTCGAACTCGACCATTAAATGACCAATACTGATACACAGCTTAGCATGGCTTGGGGAGCATTCTGGTCTAGGAGTAAGTTCCTTGCCTATAGATTCAGCCATCAAGGTGCTGAATCTATCGGCAATGCCTCGTGCTGCCGCCCCCTGAGCGCTTGGAACAGGGTGAGAATTCCGGTTAGCACTCGGTCCACCAGATATGGTGCTTAACCCAAAAGCATTAACGAACCAGCCTTAGCATGGCTTATGCTAGCAGCCAGAAATGTTTATGTAGAAAATGCCCGATGCCGGTTATAATTTAATATTGCATACCATGGATGATCAGTGATAAATATTGCTTGAAATTTAATCACCAACACCCCACTCACCGAATTACTTGAAATTTACTCACGAACACCCCACTCACCGAAGAAGACCAGCAGCTCTCTCGTATTGGAAATAACGGAAATAACGGGACCGGTGCCTTGAGGACAACACAAGGATTTCCACGTAGACAGTAATTGTGTTCAATTACTGAGATCTAGCAGGCTGCTATGAAAAAGATAGCAAATCATTCGTCAGATTCTGCTTGCTGTCATGCTGCAGCGTTCAGATACGCTAATGCTTTATAAATGAACAGACATAACTTGCGCATCCAAGGCATTTATTTGGAATAAGGAAAAGGTTATCTGTTATGACAGTGACGTCATGAAATATAAAAATAATGTTTACTTTGTCGAGGGTTTTATGAAAAAGAATGCAGAATTTACCTTATCTTATCACTTTTTCTCCAATGACCTGGTCTAATTTATCTTAATCCAGTTTAATTTCACCTAATTTTTGGAAACGTAGCCCACTATAACTAATCTCCCAAACACTAATGTGATAACTATTGACGTCATCAAATAGATTGGCAATTGCATCAGTTGCATGACTCAAAAACATAGAAATAACCCTATAGAGATTGACAACTTACTTGAAAGCGTAAACACAACGTAAACGCGTAAACGTTTATAAATATACCATAACCAACTATTTCTCGCGCCACTAATTATAATAGAGATTGACAACTTACTTGAAAGCGTAAACACAATGTAAACGCGTAAACGTTTATAAATATACCATAACCATAAACCAACTATTTCTCGCGCCACTAATTATAAGGGTATGTTCATTCGTTTTGTTATTTTCCAGATCCACGTAGTATCAAGTCTGTTCTGTGTTTACATAGGGTTCTTGGCGCGTCCCTAGGCACTACCCAAGGCTATATAAACCAGGTAGAACGCTCCGGGAAAAAAGTTGGAAACAATAAATTAGTTGCAGCATTCCCTGATGACGCGAATGTGGGTCAGCGGCCGGCGGCCGGCGGCCGCTAACACTGTATGAGGATGAGTGCACGGAACTTTTGCTTGTTGGAGATTGCGCTAGGCAGTTAAATGTTAATGATAGGATATGTTTCGAAAGTAAATTGAACGACGCTTCGAACGCCGTCAATGAATTTGCGATGCGACGCGTATTTGTTTAGTTAGAGCCGGCGAACTTTTACCTTCCGACCGCGCGGGGAGGCGATATGGTGCCACACTGACGGTTTTTAAGATAGCTCAAAATTCTTTTAAGCTAAAGAGCTGAAATTTGACTCGTCCAATCTTTTGATCAAGCTGGATCTTCTGGTACAGGTCGCATATTTAAGGTACGTCAGGTTGTTGACCTATATTGTCGCTCGTGAGCCTCTGCACAGTCCAAAAACAATGCAATTTCTGAACACTCAGTGCCAAGAAATCCTTCACACAAAGATGACACTTGGCAGAAAGAAGAGCTGTCGGTTTCTTATCGTTCGTATGTGTCGTGTTTTCACAAGACTAAGAGTTTAGTAAGGTCAGGTCCGTCACGTGACCTCCCCTCATAACTCAATAGGTTTACTTTCATAGAAGCGTTTATCAATCGCCGGAAATCTTAGCCAATCCCACTGGACACTGGATCCATACCCACATGGGGCCCTCCTGACTTGCCACTCCCTCTGAAATTCACAATAACATTGGGCTGCGCCCTGCGGCCACGGTTATGTATTAATGCTTTTCACTGGCAGAAATACAACAACTTCAACCACCACAGTGCACGCCGCCACAACAGTCCGACCCACGTCCCTGATATCGACTAGCACCCGGCCGGATGCACATACGCGGAGCCAATCAGTTCGAATGTGCCAGTCAGTCCTGAAGCTTACAATTGCTGTGTCGCATGGCGCATGGCACAGGACGATTCCTAGCAGCTGTCGGCTGAAGTGGAGAAACAGCACGTTGCGACACACCGCGCCGGCGACAGAGCTCAGCAGGGCTGGTTTGAGGCTAAAGCCGGAGGTAAGGGCGGACACAGGCAGTAGGCACATACATTGCAGGACAAATAACAGGATGTCAGTTAGGGATATAATTCAAGACGAATGATTCAAGACAGACTGAAATAATGTACATTCTGTTCACTTAGATACCAACTTCAAACTTGACATTTATAGCACCACGGAAACAATTGGCACACAGGAAAGAAACAAAAGATGAGGTGTTTTTAACTCAAGGAGGTAAAAAGAGGTTGCATATGATGGAACAGCCCGAAGTGCAGACAAGCGCATATTTTTGGTAATAGCTATCAGCTGTCCTACTTCTCTTCTCCCTTCACCAACTACTGGACACATTTGAAGCATCATATTAGCACCAATGTCCATAACAAAAGCTTGCAAGTAGTTTTATGAAGCCAAGGGAGATATGCCTACATCATGCATGTAAGCTCAAAATGCATTACAAAGGAAGGTTATCTAAAGTGAATAGTGGGCAAAAGCATTTCATAGCTAAATTATTCAAAACTGCACACAGGGCAAACATAAAAAGCAGCAAGTGTAGTGTTCTGTTATGCTTAAAAAAAATCCAAAACAAAATACAATCTTTTCTTGTTTGAATTGGTTGTTCTTCTATGCCACTTCATCCATATCTTGATTACAGATGGGCTGTTACTGTAGGCTGATGAAGTGACACTTGATTGCCTTTGTGCGAGTTTCAGTTGCAGCCTCCTAGGTACTGCACTGGAAAGCAGATTGAATTGAATGCCTCTGAAAGATAGGAATATTGGCAAAGTTAGCTGTAGTAGTGTCAATGATAATAGACATGACATTTATGTCTTTTGACATACATTTGTTGAAGTACAAAAAGGTACAAAATAAATTGGTTTGTTTCCAGACACGCACACTGCACAAAGCCGCACAGACATTACACAAGCATATGAAATTGGTACACATAAAACTTGATGATTAAAAAGGTCAAAACTAGCAACAATAATTAATTGAAGTAAAAGTTACAATCACAATCATTTGATTTAAAATGACTTGACAAAGTCACAAGATGCAACACTCCTATTCACTTCAGAAAAGTTTTTATGCTTTCATTATATCCTCCACATATCAACCAGCTTGATACCAGGCTGTGCAATAGTGGGTACATAACCCCATGTTTCCATTTTATTAGAGCAAGTGGGGTTACAACAACAATGCTAATGTCAAACCCACATCTGCAACCCGTACTGAAGTTTCAATCACCTTACAAGAACACCTTCTGGCAGTTTGATGGGCAGAATGGTCATAACTACTTTCTCCTCATATTCAACACAAATTATCTCTTATACAGATAAAGTTTAGACTTGGTTATGGCAAGCATTTTCGAGAAAAGATATGATAAAAGTCCAAGACAAAGGTCGAGAGAAACAACACCAACATAAAACACCGACTATGTAGCACTAATACTATAAAATTCATAAAAATATATACATGAGTCGATCAGAAATTCACTGTAGATTGCGAAAATGGTGTCAAATGCCACTCAAATACCCCCATTCGCATGTACGAAGCAATATAACACTGACCTTCAGTTCCGCGTGCCATTCCCCATAGGCCACTGTGTATTAAATAACGCGTTCACTGATCGCAAAAAAATGAGACCCACATATGACGCGTTTGCTACCAGCCAATCAGCGCTCGAGATGCCGAGCGCTGATTGGTGGAGAGGGCCGTCGTCAGCAGTCCATTACATGTTGTTTTCCTTGAACATATACGTGAGCGGCTGATGCTGCTCACGGGTTGTTTCCATTTTTCGTAATGCTGAAGGCACGGGAGCGAACCCCCCTGGCACTACCTACCTCAAAATACCTAAATGTAAATGGGTAGGTAGGTACTAGGTGGTCGTGAAGCAGGCATCAAAGATGGCCTTTCAGGCATCACACCTGCTTTTTTGCAAACAAGGAGACAACTCAAAGTTCACTGTATTGATATTGTTAAGGTCCAGACTGGTGGGAGTAAAGTAACCCATGTTATACTACTGTTGACATGTCCGGTGTAAAAGGGCGGATTGAGCTGAAATTTCAGAGCAGAGTCCAGCGCAACTCAGTGCGCCAAAAGTATGGTGCATGAGTGGACAATAAATTTCAGTGCAAACAGATCATTTAAGAAAGTTTGGCGCAAGAAGAGAAACCTTTGCTATCTTCAATTGCTGAACTACATTTGACTCGTAAATCTCGGAGGATAACTGACAGATGCGTGAGATATAAGCTTCTCAAAAGCACTGCTCCAGGACTGCTTGAACACCCTTGACTCTTTACGTGGCATGTGTGACAGGACTACCAATGTGCTTCAAGAGTAGTCAATTGTAGGGTAGGAGAGATAGGGCTACTCAATAACAAAGTGTGCAGTGCAATCAGCCCAGCGGTTGCAGTGAGATATAACTCCCTTAAAGGTGTTACAGTCCAAGCTGGGCCGCTCATGCCAGATTTTTTGCACTGAGATTTTTAATATTGAAAATACCCATCACACTTTGCGCTCCCTCGAAATTATAATCCACAAAGCACAAAGCTCATAATGCTTGGCACTCTTAGCTGAGAAGATTATACAAGAGAAGCCTCACATCAGTGTAAAAGCCATCCATTCCATAATCAATGGCTAATTGGCTAGCTGCACTGCTGCAGTGCTAACCAGCCAGTGATGCATCGATAATGTGCGATTTTAGTCACTCATATTTGTAGTTGCACAAAACCTCTGTTTTTGTCTTGTAAACACTCAAAGCATAGGTGTGTTTCACTTCAACATTTTTTTAGGTGCATTTGTAGGTGTATTTCACATGAACGATCGTTTTTACCGGTGACGATGGTCCATACTTTGCAGGTGTGCCTTGTGAGGTTGGCCAGTCGCATTTCGTCCACGCAGCTCCTGGCTGAACAATGGTGAGTGCAGAGTGCTATTTGGCATGGCCCCTTTGTGGTGGATGGTACCACCAGTGTTTACAACTATTCAAGTTGTAAAGATTGATATGTATTTCAAAATTTCAAGCACCCTTGGCTTTTGTGCTGAAGCAGTGTTCGACAGTTGCGCAAGCTTCTCTGGGTCAATCGAATAGGTGATTCTTGTATAGTAAAGTGGTATGCTGAATTCCTTTGAGCGGTGAACCCGACTACGTTGTGCTGTGCTTCTGTGGCTCAGTTGGTGGATTGTCTGGACCTGGTTCTCGGTGGTAAGATTTCGGTTTCCCGTCACTTGGGCACTGGATATTTGAGTCGGGCGATCTGCAGTTAGTGGGAGTAGCTGTATCCAGCCGAACTCTGGAGTGGTAGAGGCAACTTAATATCCCGATCGAATGGCAGCGCTGCCGTATAAAGGCAAAACCCATTATGTTCGGGTGACCTCTGACCTGAGGTAATGGCCTCTGACACGACATAATAGTTTTTTGCCTTTGCACGGCAGAGCGGCTATGGCCAAGGTTTTATTAGCGCAGGCTCTGGGCTCGTCAATCCGTCCGCTCACAGCATTGTGCTTAAATTGCTGAGAAAGAACTAATTCGATGGCCGAACCGGGAAACTCAGTCTCAGAACCCCAATGTGCGTGGTGGGCACGCCCGAGACGATATGTAACAGTACATTACTGGTAGCTGGCTCTGTGTAACGTATGTCGCGCTATGTACAGTTTGTAATCAAATGCAACCGTTCAGTCATGAAATGCGTATACAATCTGAGATCAGTTCTGCTACGCCTTCAATGTTGTTGGTAGATGTCTGCGATTTTGTCCCCTCGGCTGCCCTTTTGTAAAGCAAATGCTGTCCGCCAACAAGGGCCCGTGTATCTTCGTTTCTGCACCCTTTACTTGCCGGTTAGATTGATCAGATGTATGAATAGTGGACAAGCAATTATGTTTGTTTTGTTGGGTTAGGCCCTTTCGGTCCAATGAGACCATTTCAGAGCCGGGAGGATGATAGGATATAGGGGGAGACATTGGTCTGGGCAGGCTCCCTGGTGAGTCGCCGGGACTGAGCCCGTCCAGAGGACAGGCCACCCAGCCCCAAGGCACTCACTGCACCCGGCTACGGGGTGCGCTCTCTCGGGAGCAGCGGTGCCGCTCCAAGGGAGCAGCCCGCATGAGATAAAGTTGCCTGTCCAGCCCGGAGGGGGGTTGCGGCGTGGAGGAGAAGGATTTCAGTATCCTGAGGATAGAAGCACGGAACGGTCCACAATTATGTGATCGACTACGACTCGTTAAATCAAAGCTATCCATTCATGTAACCTTTTGGATATTTCATAAGGAAAGATTCACAAGGAAATGGCAAGCTACTGAAGGGCTCTTTCATATTGTTGTTCTCCGAAACATATTGGAAATAGAAATGCTTGAGGCATGGGTCCTGCTGCCTTCCACGCATTTGTCATTAACTGAGGCACGGACTGAGGTATCCGGCCTCCAATCTGCCCAAACCTGGCGGCAGATTCCGATTCCAGATTCCTGTCGCCCCCCGGGTGGCAAAGCTTCTAGCTTCTAATGATGGTCGCTAGATGTCAGTGAAATCGCCGCCAGGGTGATTGAGACACGTTGCCGCCGCGTGCTATCGCTGGCCAGTTTGTCAACATTGCGTCAGGACAGCGCGATGATGTTATCCCGCAATGCTGTCTCCTTATCGATTAGCCGTCTGAGACTCGCTACTCACGACTTATCAATCCTCGGTGCGATGGTGTCTGGCAGATCCCGTCACAGCATGGCCCAGGGCTCTGGATCGACACTTGGGACCTATTCGGGGATCAGGCGACCAGGTGAAAGGGAGGCTCCGGCGAACTATCGCTTCAGTAATGCCCATCCCACTAATGGAGGCATTGTAGAATTTTGCGATTTTTTATATTTATGCCCCGATCCCCGGTATCGGCACACTTAACTGGTGTTGGTGGAGCTGAATAATGCGTGATGCTATCATCAGCAACGCTTAATTTTCTCACACAAAGGAAGTAGAGACATCGAGATAGGTTACCAGCCCTGTGCCATTGATGTTCCGACCCCTTGCGCTCTCATCAATACCAGCTGTCGATTGAACCTACCGATCAGTTGCCGTCAGACACGGAAAAAAAACATTTCGGAACAAAGAACAAATTAAGAGCGATCGGACGCGACGCGATTCATGTTCATAGATAACATATTGGATGCGGTTCGGAATGTATCTCCCGGGGAAGCGATTAGATTTTTTCGACCGAACCTTGTCTCATCAAACGGATTCTATTGCGCCAGTGGATCTCACCGATGCTTATACAACCCATGTGCATTGTGCAGGTACCTAATGCTTGCCTAATGCAGCCTTTGAATAATGCATAAATGCATGCGTCCTTCCGCTGATTATGGGCTAGACGCTCTGCACCCAGCACCGGTGGTTTGGCGGGTCGATAACCAGAAACTGACGTAATAATCTGAATTAAGGTTGAGAATACGTATGCGTAGGAAGTACCGATCTCATCGAAATTCTTTGCGTGCTTCGGTATTGTCATGTCATTGCCGAGAGAAATACGGAAGAGACGGGACTGTAATAGCAACCTACGTATCCATGTATGTGTGCCAAAAAAAGCATAATGAAAATTTGCCGCGAGCTCCGCAGCACATTCGCTCATGTCCAAAAATACAATTGGAACCGGTTCTCTCCCGCTGCCCAGCCTCTCCGGTAGGGGTGGCGGGGTGACACAGCAGGACGGGAGCGCGGCCGGGGCCCTGGGGCGGCCGCCGGTTGGAGCCGGCTGGGGGCTGTCGCGGGTGGGCAGCCGGCCGGCCGCGGGGCCGCGGCGCTTTGCCGGCCGGTCGCAGTCGCGTGCCGTCCGCGTCGCCGCTCGGAGCGCAGTGATGGCGTCCACAGAGGAGCAGCCGAACGTCAAGCGGGCGCGCAGCCTGAGCCACCCGGGCCCGATGGGGCGGCCGCACCGGCCCCACACCCGGCGTGTGCACCGCAACTCACTGCCCAGCTCTACCATACCGCAGTTCGCCAACATCAAAAACAAACGCAAGTATGTGCGCTTCTCGTTCCGCGAGAAGAAGATCATCTGCAGTGTGGTGGCCGGCAACCTGTTCTTCGGCTGCATCGCCGGCATCCTGGTGCCGTTCTTCCCGTCCGAGGCCGAGAAGCGCGGCGTCTCGCAGTCGCTGGTCGGCGGCGTGTTCGCCGTCTACGCCTTCACCCAGTTCGCGTTCGCGCCGATGCTCTCCAAGCTGATCCCCGTGATGGGCGCGTCGCGCGTGTTCCACACGGGCCTGGCCGTGACGGGCGTGTCGACAGTCGTGTTCGGCCTGCTCGACTTTATCCCGGACGCCGACGCGTTCATCGTCACGTGTTACGTGGTGCGTGTGGTGGAGGCGCTGGGCACGGCCGCGTTCGTCACGGCCGCCTACACGATCGTGGCCAACCAGTTTCCGGAGAACATCAACCTGCTGGTGGGCACGTCGGAGACGGTGTGCGCCGTGGGGATCGCGGCCGGGCCGGCCATCGGCGGCGGCCTCTACACGGTCGGCGGATACGGCCTGCCCTTCTACGTCTTAGGAGGTGTGATCGTGGCGGCGACGGCCATCAGTTGCGTGACGCTGCCGTGGATCGGCGGCGATCCGCAGCGGGTCGAGGTGCGCCGCATGTCGCGCCGCATGGTCCGCTCGGCAGAGGCCTGGCTCAACGTGGTCGTGCTGCTGCTGGTGGCCGTGGCCTGGACGGCGCTGGACCCGGGCCTGGCGCCCTACGTCACCACCACACTCGGCCTGTCGCCCGCCCACCTGGGCCTGTTCTTCCTGCTGGCCAGTGGCACCTACGCCGTGGTCGGACCCGTCTGGGGCAAGCTGTGTGACGACCTGCCCAACAACTACGTTCAGATGTCGCTGTGCCTGGTGCTGGCCGCCGTTGGGCTGGCCATCATCCCGCCGGCGCCGGGCCTCGGCCTGGAGCCCAGCCGCTCGCTGGTCGCCGTCGGCATGACGATGCGCGAGCTGTTCCTGGGCGGCGCCTTCATCCCGACGTTCGGCAACATCCTGCGCTCGGGCACGGCCGTCGGCCTCTCCGAGGGCATGGGCACGCAGGCGTTCGTGTCGGCCATCTGGTGCAGCGCCTTCTCGATCGGCAACACGATCGGCCCGCTGGCGGCCGGCCTCTCCGATGACGCGTTCGGCTTCCCGATGACGGTGACGGCGCTGAGCGTCATCACGCTGCTGATGGCCGTGCCGGTGGCCATCCAGTGTCTGGTGCGGTGGCGGCAGCTGGCCAACGCCGGCGCGTCGGCGCCCAGCCAGGGCCCCTCGGAGCGGTCCCCGCTGCTGGCCGAGAGCGGTGCCGGCGGAGACTGGGTGCCGGCGCCGCTGCGGACCGCCGCCATCCCTGACCGGCTGCCGACGGTGGCGTCCAGTGAGTCGGAATGAGCGGCGGCTGAGTCGGGGTTACATCACCACCACCAACAGCGGCAATACCAGCAGCACCATCACCAGCAGCGGCAGCGGCCGGTGGGCGAGGGAAGAGAAGGCGACAGACTCGTCACCACCAGCAGCAGCCACAGCGGGTGGGCTAAGGAAGAGGCCATCTCGTCACCGCCACTATCGGCGGCGGGTCCACGGACCAGAGAGGGTGCAGGGCGCCTCGTCAGCGACTACGGACGATCCGCGGAGACCGAGCGACGGGTCGAACGGTTCCAAAGGAGGGCGACGCAGCGGGAGCTCGCAGGGGCCGCAGCAGCGGCGCAGTCGAGAGCGCGGCTTTCAACTGGAGAGAGGGGCACGTGTCTCAGCAAGGACTGAGCGGTATTATGTGCGCTCTTTTCATCCAGATTTATTGAACAACGTATCGTTTGAGCCGAGGTCATATCGTTCCATGTGTGAAGTATCTTAACCGTGTGGGTACAGGGCATTTGAGCTATGTTTTATTGTGCATGTGTATGTATGTGTAGAGAGGAGGTAGCGAATGGCTTATGAAGTGCAATCATCATGTTTTCAGCGAAATGACTGTGTGTTTCAGTGTTGTGATGAATGCATACACATGTAAGGAAATAAACAATAAACATTATCCAGATACGTGTTCTATGGTTCAGCGTGAAAGCATATAGCTTGGTGATCTGCTTGCGGCCTATTCGCCCATCAGTCGCTGCTTGCACCTCAAATTCCATATCTCTTTCAACGAGCTTGGTATTGGTCTAGCACACTTTGTCAGGGATTTCTGCCGAGTTGCTGCATCTTATCTGTGCACTGTGCAGTAATGATGTCAATTACGGAAAATCGGAATACCGATACCAAACCAAATACCAACCAAATCCGTTGAGAAATACCGAAACCAAACCAACTTGGGAACATGAGGAAAATACCAACTTTTTACCGATTTCTTAGCCTCTTAAACATTAGCGAGGGTTCATGATACCAACAAAATACCAAGCACATAACGATTGAAATACCAAATACCGAGTTGGTATCGGTTTGGTATCGGTATACCAAAAAGTTGGTATCCGATTGACATCTCTACTGTGCAGGTACGGTTGTTAATTTTTAGGTGACGTCACCAGACGTGGACTCGATCGGGCACGGTCACGACTCACGGGTCCTGATTCACTGGATAGTTTCCGCTGGCATGGGGAAGTCGTCAGTGTCATTCAGAGGGTGACTACCGTCATGCCCAAAGGTAACTTCCTTCGCCACCCCTCCCCCCCCTTCTCCCGTCCCTTAGCAGCGGCCGCGAACCTCTCGTCTCCGCAGCCGCGAGGGTCTTTGACCGCCGTCCGGAGCCACCCGTCTGAGGCAGAGATGTATATTTCTCAGCTCCTCGGCACCGAACCCGTGCGCCCCACCATGTCTTGCAAACGAGATCCAGATCGCGCCGCGCCGGGCCAGTAATGTAAACGTCGGCACCGTCCTGGGCTGGGTCAAACGTCGCGGTCCCGACATTTATTGCACTATCCTGGTGCTTAGGCAGCGAGCCGAGATGTGATCAGATGCGCAATCTGGCGACAGATCATTCTAGTGCTTTTCCATAAGGCGTCGGGTATTTTCCATAAGGTGTCAAGCTGCATACATTAGGGACCATTGGGACTCTCCGTGTCTCCGTGCTAAAAGGAAAAGCATGGATTCGATAGAAGTTGCCGGTTGATTGAAAAGCTGAGACGTTAGACAAATGTTTAAATCGTTCATCCAAATATGTCTGGTAGAAGGCTGCTCAATGCTTGGAATTCATGTTTTGTGTCCAGTTCACGTTGTCTCGAGTTCTCTTCCTCGCCATAAATGTTTATTTTTGTGTTTATCCACTCTTCCTTTTGTGGATGATGTCATAGACAGCCAGGACGGCAGGAGGCTGGATCATTATCACAATTACCTTGCTTTTTTTCTTAAAGACGAGCGCCACTTGTCGTGAGCATGAACAGGGGTGGTGGGCGTCAGAAAGGAATCTAACTATTAACATCTGACATCATCGCTGTCTGATAATGTCTGTCAACCAGCTCATGATGCATTGCATTTGTTGCTTATGGCATTCTTTCTTGCTATAGGAAATCAATTTGAGCCATCTCGTAGCTGCGGCATCCCCAACGGAGTTTCTGGGGGTGAGCTGTCGGCGCGGGTTGAGGGTCGATTCAACAGCTGTCTGATAGAGCCACGGCGTTTGATACGAGTTCACTCGAGTGGTGCTCACTATTATAAGTACTCGCCCGCCAGCCACGGACGTGCGAGGATTCGGCGACTAGCAGTACCTAATGGGGGGGGGGATAAGTGGACAACCCCCCCCCCCCCGCCCTCCCTCTAAGAGTACGGCTATATGGTTAATGTATGCTACACCCTGCGCTGTTCTGCTTTAGTCAAGCAGCGCCCAGAAAGTACGCACCGAGCGCCCATTTGTCCACTGGAGACGGGAAGTGGCTCACGACCCAGAAACGTGACCCATATACTGAAGAGTGAAGAGCGCTCGGAATGTGTGCTTGAAATCTGCCCACGACCCTAACAAATTTGCACTGGAAGATTGTATGAAATTTAGATCTGCATTGCCGTAAGTTTTGTGTTTTGACAAGGCGTGTTGTGATTTTGATATAGTAGACTGGGTCTGGCGCATTAGTATCTTGCTGATGATCAGTATTGTGTGCGATGGTGAGTTATTGACGCAGAGCAGAATCTGCAAAGCCGTTTCTAAGGGGACTGTACCCCGATCAACGTCTCTCCCGTGTGTGGAATCGGTTTCGCATCAGGTTTCGATTGTTCCCAGCTTCTGCAGTACAGTATTACTACCGTATCTGACGTGTGTGCGTGTTCTTTCTTCCAGGGTGAACGCAAGGGAGTCAACAAGTACTACCCGCCCGACTATGACCCGTCCAAGGGAGGGCTCAACAAGTTCCAGGGCACGCACGCGCTGCGCGAGCGTGCCAAAAAGATCCACCTGGGCATCCTGGTCATCCGGTTCGAGATGCCCTACAACATCTGGTGTGACGGCTGCGGCAACCACATCGGCATGGGCGTCAGGTCAGTCGGCACTCCTTCTTACGTATTTTTAGCGTTCGAAGTTGGAAGGTCTTTCTTGATTGCACCTTCAATGTCATTTCCAGAAGCAAGCTTGTAAAACCATCCTAAGTTTGGATGCGTCTGTTGATTCAGAGCTCACTGGCATTGATAACAAGTCAACGACCTACCTAATGTTTTATTCTTATCTTAGCTGGGCGCACGTTTTAATATCGTTGATGATCGTAATCTGAGTTGCTAACTGACTGTTTTGTCCCTTTCAAAATTCAGGTACAACGCGGAGAAGTCCAAGGTGGGCATGTACTATACCACGCCCGTGTACCAGTTTCGTATGAAATGCCACCTGTGCGACAACTACTTTATCATCAAGACGGACCCGGCGGTAAGCTGAGCGCTGCGTTCTAAAGGCTGTGGCGTGAGTGCTGCTGCGTTTCTTATTGTCTTATTTGGGGGACATTGGCAACGCTCAAGTCATCTCGTAAAACATGGCATATCTGCTGGTCAGATAACCTGAGAGATGCCTTGTAGATCGTAACAGTTTTCCATTATTACAATACAAATGAACACGCTAACCGTCTGCCGTTTGCTCCTAAGAGTTAATCGGTAATACTGGTTACTTTTCTCACAAATGTCATTTCTGTGACCCTCCCTCCCGGCCTGTTCGCCCTTCATGAACAGAACTTGGACTATGAGGTGGTCGCGGGCGCTCGGCGCCAGGAGCGGCGCTTCGATCCTGGCGAGAACGGCACTGTCGTTCCCGACGAGCGCGCCAAGATCCAGAAGCTCGCCACCGACGCCATGTACAAGCTGGAGCACGGCTCGGACGACGTCGGCAAACTGCGAGACGCCGCGCCGGTGCTGGAACACGTGGAGCGCATCCAGGACCGCATGTGGGACGACTTCGCGGCCAACAAACGGCTCCGCGACAAGTTCAGGGTGAGGGAGCTGTTATTACAGCACTCTGGTTATGTGTGTGGAGGAGAGGAAGGAAGCTCGTGGGTTTTGTGCGACAGTGAGCGCCGCTATACAGTGTTTCATCATGCTATGCGCCACCGTTTACATGCTCTGCGTGCGCCGACGGGCGGCTGGCGCTGTTCGATGTCCGAGATCGGTCCTGGCGGGTCCGCCGCGGCGCGCCGCTCTAGTCTCGGCTATACTGTAAGCACTACTGCCGCCATCAGTGCAGTCCGGTTGTAAGTTCCGCCAGTTAGGCGGCGTCTGTTAGATCCAGTTGGAGCCAGTATCTGTGCCAGACGTAAAATTCCGTCGGTGACGGGTGGTGTGTCCTTTAATTACCCCATGACGTCTCCTCCTCCCCCTCCCTCCGCTGCCCATGAAGTGATAACGAACAGTACGTGAAGAGAGCGACGATTTAGAACGGGGTGGCTGGGCTAACCGGTATCAGCCGACCTCGTGACGATGGGATCCATGTGGAGACATTTCCACCGTTTTAAGCGGCCTCATGTGGGCTAGGAACCATCCCATCTTATTTTGACTGCGGCTGCTTAGTTACTGCTTCTGTTCGATGTTTGTTTTTGTTTACGCTGTTGTTTTAGAGATCCTCACAGCGATCAGCACACGCGCTGGCTGGCTCACGTATGGCAAGCATTGGCACACAGCACACTCGCCACCTGCTACTCTACGACCTCGCACTATTTCTTGTCACTGGCTTTTCTGTACACTCCTCTTGTTTTGTACGTTCCTTTTGTTTTTACCTTTTGTTTGTCCTTATGATAGTACCATGTTATTGTGCTATTCCCATTATATGTATAATTTGCGTCACCAGCTGTGGCGTCTGTTTGCGCCATCCGCCTTGTGCTGATGTCCAATGAACGCTTGCTTCGCAGGCGGGTAAGAAAGCGGCAGCAGCGGTAGCTGCCCGGGACGCCGATCTGCTGCGGAGGGCCTCGCTGGACCTGGTGCTGAGTCCTGAGACGGACGAGGACCGCCGGCTGGCCGCCCTGATGAAACTGCGGGACCCCGTCGGTACGTGGAATCCCGGGGTGCGAAGAGCGGGTGGGTCTACCTGGGTGGGTCTGGGGGAATGTTTGGTGATAGGGCTTCTGGGGCGGACATCCCGCTCATTGAGTGTGTCGTCTGGGGGCGCAATGTGCTGTGGCCTGTGAGATAGGATGTGTTTAAAGTCATGGTTCTGGACTGCACCCGCTGCTCCAAAAGTACCCGACTGGAGGTGATGTGCCCTGAGCCGACCGCACTGTGGGATACTGGAGTCCATCAACGCCGTACTGGAATGTTCGAGTCACTAGGGTCGCAGTTCAGGCCTCCGAGAAGAGGATTGATTCCACAGCTCGTCGTCACGTCGGATCAACGTTGAGCCGGGCGTGTTACCGACTATAAATATTTGTCGCGCGCTGCGGCCGGGCGGCGGTCGGCAGTGTGTGCCGGCGGCGCCACCGCTCCGGCCCCCTCTGACCCCCCTCAAATAGTCCAGGGCCGGCGGCCGGCGCGCGCGCGGCACGTGGCGGGCCCGCCCCGGCGGCGACTCTGGCGCGTCTGGCTCTCGGGCCGACTCTTGGCAGACGCCGGCTCCTCTCTGGTATAAACTGAGCGCTGCATGGACTGGCGCCACGGCAACCGCTCGGACCGGGTGGCGGCGGCAGCCCCCTGTCCGGATCGAGTCGGCGGTGGTCCCCGTGTGGTCCCCAGATCGGACCGGACCGGGTCGGGCGCAGACGGTCCGCCGGCGCCGGTCAGGCGGCAGCCTCAGACGGCTGACGGACCGCAGATCCCCCCGCTGAGGACACCGGCCCTCGGACTCTGCGTAGCCTGCAGCGAACAAGGCAGACCCCGCGGCGAATAAGTCGGACGCTGCAGCGAATAAGGCGGACATCTGACTGCAGCAACTGGTGGGACATTTTTTGTATCTCGCTGCCGGTATTTTCACCAATCGCAAGTAAAATAGGCAGCTGCAGGCAAGACAGGTAGTTCGCAGATCCTCATATGGCTGGAGGCTATTCTAAAAGACGGTGGTATGCCCATTCATATTGACCGCAATAGCTGGAGACTTTTCTAGTTTTCGTTTTTTCACTTATCATTTTATGCTTATGCTCTGACATGCTCCTCAAATTAGCACTAATTTAACAAATAGCTATTCAGTTTGAACACTGGATCCCTTTACACCTCATCGCTCAAATGATCCCACCCTGTTGATACGATACGGGAGCGATATCCGGTTACAACTACCGCGAGCTCGCTGGGGAGGGAGCGCGAAGGATCACATTTCTTTGGATTAATTATTGGTGGCCCTCGGGCCGGTTCGTCCCGTCATAGGATAGCTGAGAAGATAAGAGTGAAATGTTAAACTTGACACATGCTCACCCTGTCATTTGATACTGACAGCCGGTAGGAAGTAGAGGTGGAAATGAATATTAGTCATTAGTCAAAAATTAGTCGACTAACGTTAGTCAAGCGCTTTTTTAGTCAGTCAAAAGTCAGTCAACCAAAATATTTGTTAGTCATTAGTCAGTCATTAGTCAATGATTTTGTTACATATTAGTCGACTAATTTGTCGTAATTCGTGAGGTGACTTAGCCCGCGCTCCACTGGGGTCGCCCCCGAACGCGCCCGACTGGGGGGGGGGGGTAAATTTTACCCCTCCCTCTGTTATCTCCCGAACCAGGCGTCGTAACGGCCGACATATCTTGCGCCCGCTTCGCATTGCGTTGGCCATAAAATGATTAGGGATAAAATTTGGGATCGATTGGTGTTTTTTTCCGGTGTCGATCGGACGTCTAGAAGCGCTTTGATGCGTAACTTGTAAACGGCCACAGGCTGTACTTTTAACAGTAATCGTTTCAGCCAGGCATAGAATGTCGTTGGCCCAGTGCCCACCATGGCCAACATCATTGGCGGATCCAGCCCGACGTTTTTTTTTTGGGGGGGGGGGGGCAAATGGCCGAAATGACCCCTTTCTTTCCATGCGCCGCCATAGGCGTAATATTAAAACTCGGGTCTTTTTGGGGGGGGGCAAACGGGCTTTGGGGGGGGGGCAATGGTCCTAAATGCCCCCCCTGGATCCGCCAGTGGCCAACATCCCCAGCTGCTGATTGCACTGCTTTGTTCATTGCTGATTGCGTTCATTGTGGTCAAACATCACAGGTCACATGCTCTGAAATGCTGAATGGAACAAACATTAAAATAAAACATGGTGTTGGTCATCGTTTATATTTCTTAGCGTATCGGCAGATTTTTATTTACGCAGTGCTAGCAAATTGCGAAATTTAGTCAAATATTAGTCAAAATCAAGAAAAGTAGCGTTAGTCATTCAATAGTCAGTCAAGCTTTTTGAGACGAAAATTTAGTCAGTCAAAAGTCAGTCAACCAAAATTGTCATTAGTCATTAGTCAGTCATTAGTCAATATTTTGGAAAACGTTAGTCATTTCCACCTCTAGTAGGAAGGGGTGATTCTGGTTTTCCGCGGGGAATCAGTTGGTTAGCGGTGTGAGCTATGTGATGATACTGACAGCCGGTAGGAAGGGGCGATACTTGACTCGTTTTCCGTGGGGAATCAGTCGGTTAGCGGTGTGAGCTGTGTGTCGGTCCGTCTCCACGGCCGCCTCTGCCTCTGCGGGTCCCCTCCCCGCTGCCCCCTGTCGGGTCCCCCCGGTGCGACCCCGTCGGCCGGCGCCGGACTGACGCGATCCGTCCGCCGCTCGGAGCCGTCGCGTGCCACTCGGGTCTCTGGGTGTCCCAGTCTGACCCATGGCCGGCTGTCTGAGGTCCGATCGCCTCTGACGCGCAGCAGACAGGCCAAATCTCTCCGACCGAGGGTGACGTCAGGGGTACTGGAAGGCACCGCTTTCAGCGGGCCAGCCGCACCCGCCCGGTATAAACCGCCCGCGGTGCGGCCGGCCGGGACCGGACAGTTTCCACTTGGAGGTGGGAGTATGTATAAACAGCGGGAGATCGGATGACCTTATTCATATAGAATGTGCATGGCAGCTGTGGGAAGCGGAATGTTAAACGAGAAACAGCTGTTTTCGTGATCGTTAAGCTGTTCCTACGCTGCTGGTTGCATCTGTGCATCACTTGTAATGTGGTATCCTGAGTTGAGAATGTACTTGGAGAGGTGTGCGTTGTCCTAAACAAGGCTTTGATTCTAAAGTTAGTACTCCGTCGGTGCTCTGTTTTAGTTTTGGCCTCTATGGACTTATGGTTTGTTGCTGATCAACATTTGAGCGTACCCAGGAAGACACGTTCCACCCACTGCCGAATCGAGTTTGCACGCGGTCCCTGTGAAATCAAGTGTGAATGGTTCGGGCTTTGTTATATTTCTCTAAGTCAGTATAACACCATGTCCGTTTATTTATACCTAATGTTGCTCGCATTCCACGTAAACAGATAGACTTTATCTTTGTTGTGCGCGAAATGGTATACCAATTACCAAGCTTTTGTTTCATTTGATGCAAGCATAAAAACTTCTGCATATCCGTAGCATTCAGTGTCTCTATCGAATAGCAGACGTTTCCGTCGAAGCTGAAAGCGTCCAAGGCCACTATGTCAAGTCCAAGACTGTGTATTTAAACACCATACGATCTGGAGACAATGGTGCTCGTCAGAGGGGAGGATGGGTGGTGAAAACCAGGAAGCGAAGACCTAATATTTCTTTTTCTCTCTTATGTTTGTACGGCTATCCCGGAAGTGATGGGTTGTGACTTGTGAATGCTCTTTGTTTGTTCTCACAACTTATAACCTCTTTTTGCGGTAGAATATCGAAGCAGCCATTCAGTTTTAGAGATAACCCAGTGCCATAGGTGGCCGGTGGCCATGTTTAGGTACCCCTGACCGTGTTTTTTTCACTCCTGTTATTTCCGTGTCTGTTTTCCAGGACTGGAGGAGCGGCGGAAGAGGAAGCGGGCGGCCATCGGCGCCCGGCCGGCCCTGGGCACTGTGGCGCCCCGCAGCGGCGGGTTCGGCACCGGCCGGGCCGCGGGGACCGGCGGCGGACGGACGGCCGCCTCCATCGGGGTGGCGCTGGGTCGGAGCGGCGGCACTACAGGCTCGTCACCGACCGCCGCTGCTGGGGATAGCGAGAGGGGTGAGCAGCGACTCCCCACCGCTACCAACACATCAGACACCGGCCCCGGCGCCTCACCGACCGCCGGCCCCAGCGTATCCGTCACCAGCATCGGCCCTGCTGGTCCGATCCCATCTGTCACTAGTCCCAGTTCGGTAGATCCGACCCCCTCCGCCGACCCCAGCCCCCCTGTTTCAACCCCTTCTACCGACCCCAGTCCCGTCGTTCCGACCCCCGCTGCGAACCTGTCGCTGCCGGGACCCGCCGGTGACCACCCGGCGCCCACAGATCGTTTGAACGGCCCCGGGTCAGTCATTTCCCCAGTGATAACCGCTGCCAACCGGTCAAACGATCGTTCGACCACGACCCCGGCCGGGCGGATCAGCCTGGTGGCGGAGTACTCTTCAACAGACAGTGAGTGAACCCTCCGCTCTGTCCGGATCTTACCGGTATGGGATGAGCCGGGATACATCTGCTTTGGCACTGCTCAGGAATATAAGAATGTCTTTGCTAGCGTAACGAACGCCTTTTTCGTTTAGAGGCGTCACCTGATCAAGAGCAACCCGAGGAATACGCATATGTATATCGCTATTCATTGACGCTAAACGATAATTATTCGCTGAAAACACGAACTGGCTGTGAGCTGGGGGCAGCGGCCTCGTTAGGTGGATCGACAGTTGATATAGTTGTGTTTGCTAATTGTTTTACATAGTGTAGTCGTTATTTTGTCATTGGTTGTGCCGTGCAGGTTGCGACGAGTGTGCGAGGGCGTATGGATTGCTAGTATTGCGATATTGAATGAGACAATCTATTAGCTGGCTTGCGGATATAATACATACCTATATGTTCTCTGCATAGCATATCTCATTATCGATGTATTTGTAAAATTCATCGGTTTCCTTATTGTTTTGGATCAACTTCCCACATCAACAAAGCACGAAGTTTTGTTTCAGGACGTTCAGTTGCTAATGACCGCAGACGCTGTTACGAGGGCGAATCAGGAAACGCCAGTTGATATGTTAAATAATTTATTTCACATAATCAGTCATACCTCGCATCAGCAGCACACGCCATAACACCGCTTTGGTCATAACCAGAACAAGTTTTATTGCAAAACAACGGGTAATAGCGATATTTCACACAGGTATATCAACACGCGTATAAAAATGTGTCGGTGCGCGGTGGGCAGAGACGCAGCCGTCGTGATTGTCGGCCGCCCAGTCCTCCGTCGGTACCCGGCACCACGCACATCACAGAGACACTCCCACCGCCCCGGTGCCCAGATTCAGTCCGACATCTGCCCGAACCATGCCGACAAATGGCACGGTCTGATCCGCGCTCAGGAATCCACGCGCCGCGGGATCCGCGCGGCCACGCGACCCTACACCAATATCGGTGTGATTCTGAGCGTCAACTCCCACTTTGGCCGAGGGTATCACATGAACGTGTGGCGGCGAGCGCCGAGCTCGGGCGCCCGGAGGCTGCACCGAACACAGGCGCCGAGCGCCGCGCCGGACCCACAGGCGGCACTGGACTCAGTCGCCGGGACTCACAGACAGCAGGCGCTGGGCGCCGGACTCAGTCGCCGAACTAACAGGCGCTGAGGAGCGCCGGACTCACAGGCGGCACTGGACTCAGTCGCCAGACCAACAGGCGCTGAGGAGCGCGGGACTCACAGGCGGCGCCACGACGAGGAGCTGAACGATGAGATGCCGCCGCCGCCGACGCCGCCACCGCCCGAGCCGTATCTGGGCAACACAGTACAGCGCCGGTCAGCGGAGATCGGCCCTGCGGAGCCAGGCAGACACACAGCGCACGGGTTAGACGGAGCGGCCGCTCAGTGGCGAGACCCGGCCGACGCTACTGCAGGCACGAGCATCACTAAAACTGGACAGAGGACAAGTTACACACGAGTGTTGCAGGCACGAGCTTCGGTCGAACGGGACAGAGGACACATTCACACGTGCAGACCGACAATGAATGTTCTGAATGTGTAAAAAATCTAAAATGTGTGGGTTTTATGAAGAGACCTAAAGGGAAATCATAAGCGGGAACTGATATGAAGAGCATCTTCAGAGCAACCATTTTTCTCACATGAAGGGAGACACAACTACTAATACCACCACTGCGTATGTCAACTCGGTATGTCAGGCATGTAGCGACAAACATTCGAACAGCTGCATAATCATGCACTTCACGGACTAAACACAACAGGCAGACACCGGTGCGGGGAAAAATCGAATGGAAACTAAAAGAATGTTAAATATCACATGCTTCTCAACAACCTTGAATTATTTAACGTTAAAACAACAATTCAGCGAAACGGGTACAATGTAAGCAAGCGACACAATGTAATTAGAAAAGTAACCCGAGGGCGGCTCCCGGATCGACCAGAAAGTCCAGCCAGGAGAGGCCGCCCCGGTCTGCGGCCGGCGGCGGTGACACTTGCCTCGAATATCTGCGCAGCTGCGGCTGACTGGCGGCGCCGGCCGAGCGCGATTTGCGCGCCTCCTTCAGACTCTCGATGTTGCTGGTGACCGAGTCGAGGTCGCGCTTCAGCTGGTCGCCGATCGAGCTCAGCCGAGACGAGGAGGCGATGGCCGGGCCCAGCGCGGCCGTGTGACGACGGTAGTACTCGGCGTTGCTCGACGGTGTCGCCGCCGACGGGCGGAAGTATGGCGCGTCGCCGGCGCCGCGGCCGGTCCGGCGCGGCTCGGGCGAGTCCAGTGCCGGTCGGCGGCGGCCCTCCTCGATACTGGAGAGTCGGGACGGCCGCGGCTCGGCCGAGTCGGACGGCAGCGACTCGCGTGACGAGCGCAGGCTGACGTTACTCGAGGAGAGCGCCTCGCGCGAGTCGCTGGGGTCGGGCTCGTCGGCGGGCGGCACGCAGCCGGCGCTGCCCAGTTTTCGGCGGCGCGGCAGCGTGCTGCTGATCCACCCGCCGCTGTCCGCCGCCTCGGACGGGTCACGGCTGTGCGAACGCATCCGCGGCTCACCCGAGCGAAGCGAGCTTGAGCGGCCGGCGCGGCGCGGCTCCGTCGAAGGCTCGTCATAGATGAGACTGAGCATCTCCCGGCTGGCCGAGCGGTCCCGGCGCCGGTCGTTGAAGCGGGAGAAGTAGCTTTTCCGTAGGATCCTGTCGCTGACCGAGTCTTCCTCGTCGTCGACGGTGTTGAGCTCCGACGTGTCGGTGTTCTCCGAGGCCGGGTCGGTGTCGGCGCTGGGTCGCCGGCCGTGCCGCCGCCACCGACGCTCCGGATCGCCGCCGTTCTCGGGGCGACCGTTCTGCGTCTGCTCGGCGGCGCCGTTTGACACGGGGCCGTTCTGCACAGGAGGCTCGTCGTTGACCACCACGGCCGGCGCGGCGCCGGCGGACCGGTGTCGGTCCGACCGCGGCTCGGGCTCGGTCTGCTGCAGTCGGCTGGCGGCCGAGCGCACTCCGCCGTGACGATCCTCCTGCTCACCGAGCGACTGCCGCGGAGAGCCAGGCCGGGCCACGGGCGGGCTGGCCGGCGGCGCCTTCTCAGAGTCTGGGTACCGCTCAAACGCGTCACGCAGCAGGTCCGGGTTGATGGGTGTTGGCGGCTGGTTTTCGATCCCGCTACTGGGCTGTGCAGCACCGTCCCGTCGCTTGTCTGCGCTGTTCTCATCCTCCGCCTTCACCTCTGAGCGACTTCCGACTCGTCGGATAAGGCTTGGTATTCGACTCAGCTTCTGAGTGAGAGAGGACTTCTTCTCTTTGGTTTCATCCACATCCGGCCGCTTCTCGCCGCCCCCGGTTTTCGTCTCCTCGTCTTTACCACGGCTGAGGAGCTTCGCCGTTTTCCGTGACAGCTCATCGAAGACACTCCGCTCTGACGGCTTGTCTGCCTTCTTAGGAACATCAGGAGCCGGTCGCGGGTCGGCAGCCGCCGCCGTGCCCTGGGCATCCTGCCACGTCTCTTCCGACTCCTCGGCTACCGCAGCGTTCGGCGTCGGCGAGCCGACTGTTCCACCCAGTTCCGCCTCCAGCTCAGGCTCTGCTTCAGGCACCGGCGGCGGCGACACCAGGCTCTCCCGCTTCTGCCTGATGTCTTTGAGCACGTTCTGTACGCTGCGCTCGGAGCTGCGTGTGAACGGTGTGCTGAAGCGGTACGTGTCGGGTGTGTACAGACTCTCCGTGGGGCTGAGTGTCCCCGGGCTGGCGGCGGGGCGGTACTCTCCGCTCCGGTCACGGCCGTACGGGTCCACATTGAGTCTCAGATCCTCCCGCGGACTGCGGGGCCGCGGACTGGAGCGGTACTCCTCCAGTGGACTGCGGGGCCGCGAGCTGGAGCGGTAGTCCTCCGGTGGGCCGGAGAGGTACTGCGAGCGGTACTCGGACCGCGGGCTGAACGGCTCGCGGGGCCGCGAGTACCGGTCCTCACCCGAATCGGCGTAGTATCCGGCGCTGGCGGGCCGAGCCGCGTCGCCCCTAGATGTGCGCCAGGACCGGTCGGCCAGCCGGCGAGTCTCCGGGCTGGGCACCGGCGTGCGGTCGCTGTCCTCGCCGTTTGGAGGCTCCAGGGTGGCGCCCGTGCCCACCGACCGCTCCGGCGACCGACTCCCGCCGCGGCTCTGGCTGCGTGCCCGCGGCGCTGCGACGGTCTCACGGCGGCCGTCCCCCAGCCGGAGACTGAGCGCGCGGCCCAGCGAGCGGCGCACGTCGTCGGCTGTGGTGCGCGGCCGCGCGGCCGGCCGCTGCGGCGTCTCCTGCTCGTCGTCACTACCGCCGGAGGGAGCGTCGATCAGGGAGCGGCGGCGCGCTGACCCGGCCGCCGGCTCCTGCTGCTGGCCTGCTGCTGATCGCCCGCCATCCCGCCCGTTAGCTTCCCCCGGCGGCCGGAACGAGCTGTGCAGACTGCGCGGCCGCCACGCCACCTTGGGCGGCTCTGCGGACGCCCCCGCCCCCGCCGCAGCCGCCGTCTGTTCGGCAGGAGGATACTCCCGGCTCGAGGTGCGCGTGTAGACCCGATAGGCCGGCGCCTGCGCGGGGACCGGCTCCGGCGGCGCGGCAGGCGCCGGTGCCGGTGCCGCTCGACTCAGCGCCGGGTCCTGGCGCAGGAAACGACTGATGAAGTCGCGCGCCGACCCGGCCCGCTCGGCGCTGGAGCCGGGATCCGGTCCGCCCAGCGGCGAGTCCGCCGTCGACGACTTCTTATAGGCCAGGAACTTGCGCGGCCTGGCCAGCTGCGGCTCCGGCGACATGGGGGACGGTGACGGCGCCTGCGGCTGCTGCTGTGACTGCTGCTGCTGCTGCTGCGGGCGGACGAACGGCTGCGGGCCGGGCCGCGCCTGCTCGGCCGGCTCGTCGTCATCGATGATGGGCAGGTCCTTGGAGGGCGCCCGCGCCGTGTAGCGCCGCGGCAGGCTGCGCGTGTAGCTGGCCGGATCGTCGTCCGTCTCGAAACACTGGCCGCGCCGCCGGAAATCTGCCGACGCACCCCAGACCGCGGGTCAGAGGTCAGGGGTGGCGGCCAATGGTAGCCGTGATACTAGGGGCATCGGTCAGTGCGCCTCTGGTGCTCGAGTCAGCAGGACCCTTCAGATGGAAATTGACTTAAGTCACCTTTCAAGAAAAAAGGAAAACTGTGGTAAACATTTACAAGAATGAACTCAAATTCGCTTTTCCAGCGGAAATAATTCAGTTTATAAACTAGAAGGCTTATAAATTAATTAGAAGTTACGTTAGGTTAATGAACCTTAATTTTGTGAATGGTCAATCAATATTACGTTTAATGGTCTTACGAGTTCCGAGCATACGGCTGCTGTCATCCCAGAAAAGGAACAATATCGATAACTGAATATCGAAAGGTGCCGCAGTTTATATTTA